ATATATATATATATAATTAACTCTTAATAATAAATTATAAGAATATGACATGAAAATAAAAATGGATTACATGCGTTTAGAGATTACATTTTCTTCGCTCGAAAATGCGATAGTCTTTTTGTTTTCTTTATAATATAAATGAATTGGTTTCTATGGATTTATTCTCTATTCATTCTGTTCGTATCGATAGTTCGAATGTTGTACAAACGACAATTTCGGTTTTATTCATAGTAATTAATACATAAATTAAATCTGGCGTTTACTGTCATTTATTAATATACAGAGCGATATCACATATGTTTATATCAGATATACTAATTCCATCAAACTTCGAATTTCATTCTTCAAACGACACATGAATTCGTATGATGTCGGAACCATTATTATTATATTTTAGCGGATGCAATAACATCGTGCTTAATTTAAGGCTATATTACGGTAATTACATTATATTCACCGTAATATCAAGCTAATGTGGTTATTCAATTGCAACTAATATTAAGATAAAGATATAGTCCAACATTTAAATCATGTATCTTCTGAAAAACATTGGATATCATAAAATCTGCAATAATCACCAGATTTTAATGTATGTTTGTTTCTTTTTTTCTTTTGGCTAGTATTTAATTTGTAGAATAATATAACGAGGTATTATATATAACGAGCAGGCGAAAAAGCCAGCTTTTTTTAATCCTTAGCTTAACAAATTATCTATGGCTTCGCAATTTTTAATGCTCTATGAAAAGTTCATAATATTAAAATTCTACACTTATTTATGTAATTTACAACTTCTTTTTGTTTTAAACTAATATTTCAATAACTTGATACTATTACTTCATTACCATTAAACACTCTTCATTCGATTATTCACAACTTTCACAAACGCTCTGGAATTATTTGTATTTATATATATATGTATATAATATGTTAAAAAAAGAGAATTGAAGTTATGTGTATTCACAAATATGCACATTCATCATATTTGAAAAGAAATCATTTGCTTACTGTTTAATCATTGGAATTATTATGAATATATTTTTTTCCAGTAAGCAATGATTATGATCGAGCAAGATTGATTGCTTAATCTTAAATCTTTCTGTTACAGCTCAAAGAGGGAGGAGTATCTTTTTTAATTAAAATAAGGACGGATTATTATATTATAAATGAAATTTGTTCTTTAACATAAAATTTTCAAAATATATCTTCCATTTAATTTTGGTATCATAATTTTAAAACTAATTTATTTTTATGCATAATTTTATTTTTTGATAATTAATATTTCTTTTATGAAAATGTATGGACACTTATTGAGTACATGTGACATCGCGTTTACAATTTTAATTCAACAATAGTATCAATGTAATACAAATAACATAAAATTAGTATAAAATAATTATTGAAGATTTTTGTATTACTATGAACATTAAATTGTCCTACAATTACGTAATACAAATTATGGATAATAAGAACATAATTTTACGATCATAACTAAAACATACAAAATTTACCTAAAAAGTTATCAAACTCTTAACAATATACTATTCAAAACTTTTAAACATTGCATCCATACATACGTTTTCTTAATACACATTCTAAACACATTTCTAAATTAACATCGCACATATAGTACAATTCTGTAACAAATTTTGCTTTGTTCATACTGAACACAAGATTGGCAGAGCTGTTGATACTCATCCCTCATATATTGTAGTACAATGTCTATAGACATATGTAAGCTACAAGCAATGATAGAGCACATGAAAACTCTGTCAGGAACATGCAAGATTGTTATGATGCAGTTTAGCGATTCATTACGCAAAATGTTGAATAGTTACTTTCAACATTAATTACCTAAATCAGCACTGCCACATCTGTATTTTAACTTTAATGTATTGAAAAATTATAATTTGCTTTAGCAATTGAAACTAACGAAGTCTTTCGACATCAGATTGCTTTTGAAATTTTTTTCAACAACTTATCTTTTTTATTTTACCCTCGCTGCCAATGTGCACGAGAATGATTATGATATCTGTAATATGAAGGCCTATAATTTCTACCATGTCGCGGTCGTGCATTGTTGGAAGTATTATAATAATGTCTCCGATAATAACCACCGAGAGATCGATTCCACGTTTTGCCATTTTGATATTCTTGGAAAGGATTATATCCTGCATTACTTCTTTCTTCATATGTTCGATGATCTTTTACTTTCTTTACTCGACCACGATCTATTTCTTCATCATCTGCATTGAAATGTCGTTTACGTTCTTCTCTTCTATCATTATCAACTTCTCTATCTAAGTGTGTTCTGTTCCCGTTCCAATTTATAACTGTAAACAAACAAGTTTAAGTTCGTTTTATAAAAAAATAATCTTATTATGCAGATAATCTTAAAATAAAAATATTTATACACAGTTTTTAATATACTTTGTCTTTTAATAGTGTTATTTAACACTTCACATAATTTTTTTCAATAAATCACAAAATATATTTTTTTTATTACTACTGACGTAACAGAGGTGTAACAAAGCAAATATTTTCAATTTAATAATTAACAATAGCTCAAAACTTTACGTTTTGTAATATCTACAATTTATCATTGAGAAACTTATAAACTTAAAATATTAAAAGTATTGAAATATTAATTTTTTGTTAAGATCATAGATAGACAGAATTTTTAATTTTAGAACATTTTAGCAAACAAGAATTTTCGTTTCTTGTACATTTTGTTCTATTGTTTTATGTAGAATTTTTGGATTTAAGACGCATGGACGCACAATGGGTTGATGGGGACTTTGTGGAAAAAGGAGCTGGATTCAATGGATTCTTGAATAAAATTCTTTTGTTGTACTGACCCGAAGAACTGCCATAACCACGATGAGACATCTTTAATAAATGAGAAACAGTATCGGAACGATTTGTCCCATTAAAGTTTCTTAAAGCTGCAGCACTGGGCGTGTTATTATTCTGATTAATTTTATGAACATCTTCTCTATGAAAAATAAAAAAGATGATGCTAGTTCATTATGATTACAATATTTGTTTAATAATATTATATCAAAAACAGAACATTACTTACTTATCAGTCACAGACCATCCGTTTGGTGCTGCAGTTGACGTAGGTGAGAATGATGTATCTTTCGAAACTTGCCAACCTTTTATACTGCTGCTTGTAGCCTTTGTAATCACTTTGTCGTCTTGTCCTGTTTTTACTCTAACTGATTGATGCCACTTACTTTTGCTATTATTACTACCACTTTCTGTTTTACCATTTGCTTCTGATTTACCATTTTGATATTTTATTGTACTTGTAATGGTACTACAGCTAGAACCATTTTGTGTTTTTGTACATTGTGTTATATTTGTTTGGTTCTGAGCATTACTGCCGTTTGTCTTAGATGTACATTTTTGTACTTCTTTTGAATTAAGAACTATTTTAGCAGTAGGTGAACTACTTTTTACTAAAGAACATTTTTGTGTACCATTAGTGGTACTAAGAGAAATGTTTTTTTTTACTGAAGTATTTGAATTTGTATGGTTTTTTAACGTTCCAATAGAATTAATATCTTCTTCTTCGCTAGATCCATCATAAGGTACTAAACTATTCCCATTTAAAATTTTTCCATTTTTAATCAGCATAATCAATCTTGGTTGAGATTTATCTTGTAATTTTTGTGGTAATTGCGGTCCAATAAAATTTGTATTTTTTTGAGTAGTAAATTGAAGTCCTGAATTATTATTTATTGATATCTGCATATTTGATTCCAAATTTTCCGTAGTATCTTTATTAGCTGATGTACCATTAATTAATCCATTTAATGAGAGTAATCCAGATGTTGATGCTTTGGGAACTATAGTTTTATTCATAGAAGTTCCTGATGAAGATAATGTGTTATTCACAGTCATTGTACCATTTAATTTAAGATTCTGTTGTGCTTGAATTTGAGATTGTGTTTGTTGTTCCATTTCAAAGATCATTATATAAGCATTTGTACTGAGTACATTACTCAAACTAAGTGGACGAACCTATAAAAAATATTTTTAGTAATAAAATATTCTCGCATTTTGCAATTATTATTATTATTAATGTTGTTAATACATACACAAGAATCATCAAAAGAATAATATTGGCCTGTCGAAACTTTAGCAACTGCAGTATAATGTCCACAATTAACTGATGGACCCATATGTGTAACTATTGACATAAGTTTATATGTAAGTGATTGTGATGATTCTCCTGGTTCTTTCCAAAGATAAGGACCCATATCTATAGTTTGCTTGAAACCTATATGTTTAGATATTTTTCCTCCTAGAACACTGAATCTTTTTAATTGTACGCAAAGTACTTTAGGAGGTCTTTCTAAGCTAAATTGTTTTGTAGCAGGAACTCTTCTTTTGCAAGCTTCACATTTATAATCATTGTTATCTAGTTGTTCACGACTAAAATAACTACTTAATGCTTCATCCAGAGTACTTGCTTTACGTATATCAACCAATAAATCCTACGAAAATTTTAAAAATTATATTATTTATTTTATTGTAATTAAAGATGTTGCTATTAAAAAATTGTATGTTATATACTTGAAAATGTTGAAAAGTTGTAGAAACATGCCGACACTGTAAACATTTCACTTCAGTACGAATATAACCACCAAAAATTTGATTAATAGGTGTTGTTTCTTTAGAATAACTGTCTAGTTTACTAGCTTTGTGTCTTGCTAAATAAGCTTTCT